TGAAAATTTAATGAAAATTCTCTTAATCTTTCACTTGCTGCTTACCACTTGTTTGGAGCTTCTTCTTCCTTTGAACTGCAACTTCAATATGATTTTTGCTTAAATGGGTTCTTTGTAAGACAGGAATTACTAAATATTTGGGCTTGGTTGCCTAAATAATGAGAAACTGTAGTCAGCATGACACATACACCACAACCCTAAACCCACTGCAACCACACACGCATGCATGTACACATGACAACCACACATACATGCACACACTCACTTTCCCCCTTCTGCTTGAAAAATGTGTTTGCTCCCCACCCCCAGGTTGATCTTCTTGGAGACTGCAGCTGGGGAGGCAAGAGTTAACCTGCACTCAGCAACTGCAAGGAAGATCACACACAGCCTATGCAACAACTACATCATTAGAGAACTTTCCAGAGAGGGGTGGGGTCACAGCCAGAAAGATAAAAGTCAAGCCTTATTCCCCAGTTGCAACCCTCAAAATTGTTATTAGGCTTCATTTTTAGTTTTAGTTTTGTTATAAAAAAACCTCCCATCTTACATTAACCCTAATATTTAGAGAAGAGAATGCATTCTAGTTGAAAAAGGTATGTCGTTAATCAGTAAGATTGCCTCCTGAAATTTATTTAATGAGTTTTTGCAATACTTAAGGGGATGCAACTGGAAACAATTAAAAGATCAGTGGTATGTACAATTTGTGCTACAGTACATTTGCTATGCGGTATGTGGGCGAAGGTTAGTTAAGAAGATATTAACTTTTGACATTTTAGCAACAGGCGTGTGGCAAACTCTGTTAATAAGAACATCCTCATCCCTGTAATTTTAAACCACTTTGGGGACTGTTGAGCTATAACTGTGATCCATTGATTTGCAAAAATAAATCAAAGAGCCAGGACTTGCACATGTGTGGGTTAAACAGCCCTTCAACTTTTGGTCACGTTAAGTAAAGGCTATAATAGCTCAATGAGGCAAAGACGGCCTGCTGACAATCACAGAAGCTTTCACTGTTCTTTGCTACAGTGCATGTTAGCTCCTGCAGTGAATTCCCATCCCTGCTAGTGTGAAAGCCTCCCAGCAGAGCCTCATGACAGATGTGAAATAAATGTGGGATTTAGCTCTGATGTAACATAGAATTGTAGGTAAGATACAACCAGGACCATAAATGCTATTTTTTTAAGGACAATGTCCCACATATCAGCAGGTCTGCGTTTTTGGACTTGTGTAAATGAGATGGGCACTACCTGAAAGGGAAGATTATAGTATCTGAGAAACCTGCAGCTTTTCACCTGGAAGCTAACCCCCCCTCCAAAAAAAAGGTTCATTTTTTTCATGAGAAGTAGTGCCATTTTCTTTTTTGAGGGAGTCATTTGGGTCTTTACAAAGAGTAGCACCTGTGGGAAGATTTGGATTGCGGCCAAGGGGATCAAAACTCCGTCCATATGCCTTGGGAGAGGGTGAGTCTGCGGTCGGAAACAGAACAGGGGAAGTGTGTGGTTTTTTTAAAAAAAATACTTGCCTGCTATCCATGTTTGTTATTTACTTTCAATGTCAGGAATCCAAACAGATCACAGAGCCTTGTGCATTCCCTTTAAGCCACCCTGCCAATACCATCATGCTGCTATACAAATACGTGGTGCAACCACATTAGGAATACTGTGTACAGTTCTGGTTGCCTTGCCTTCAAAAATTATATTATAGAGTTGTAAAAAGTTTAGACAAGGGTAACCAGAAGGCTCAAGGGGGTGGATCAACTGCAGTGAAGCAGAGCACCTCTGTAGCAACTCCCACAAGGTGAAGCCACTTCTGCTATTGAAGCTCATCTAAGGAGCATTGTGTGATAAGATGCAGGCAGGAAGGGTTTGGGATTCCCATCCATGTGCCCCTTTTGTTCTAAAAATTGTCCTCTGGATGTATACATGATTGGACAGAGCTGGGCATGAACAAAGGGGTTTGCTGTCTTCACATCTAAACTGGCCCTCAGTTTTGACCTATTTTTAAATCCACATTTCCATACCTGCTCCCACCATCTGTTGGGCATACTGATAGTGAACAATAATTACTTAATGGCAATGTTGTGTCTGTAATCAGATTGGCATGAAGAGATCTCTGAAAGTAGGTTTTATCTTAGCAAGACAACCTACTGTAACACAAATGTACTATTGCATTTCATGCCTCAGAAGTGATTGAATCAATAATTGCATCACCCAAGAACTGGAATAAATTATTCATGCTAGCCATTTTGGATATTAACATGCAAGGCAGGTGGAGACCTTGTGTAATCCTGATCCTTGTTTAGATGCATATTATGTTAAAGTTGTCTACTCTTTGGCTATTAATGAACTAACATATACTGTACAGAGTTTGTGAAAATGTGACTCGTCATTTTAGTTTTTTACTATATTTCCTTCCCATTCTTTTCTTTACTATTGCCTGCTATCTTTACCTGTCAGATGTGATCATACACCTTTTAACACACTTTTTTTTAGCATGGGAATTGTGGTAAATTTCAGGTCTGCTAAGTGCTCACTGTATTAGCTGAAGCCAGGTAATATAATAAATAAATGATTCCTAAAACTGTACAGCAGAATTTCTCACATTTTTCAGCCTAGTGAGCTTGGGGATGTCTCCCACCACTTTTCGCTGCACAACTGTGCTAATTTAGCACTCTTGCCAATGGCTATGTTAGAAAGATGTGAACATTTTCTGCGCAATGGCCAAAAGGTCAGAAAGTGCCATTGCTTTGCCGACCAGCCTCTATACACCCATCTAGGGCTGATCACCAGCTGAGAAATGGCAATGAAGAGGATGCTTCAGTGAGCAATTATAATTGGATCTATTTTGAGGCATGCTTGACAAGCTGTGCTGAGCCACAGCAGTGAGTCTCCTTATGCTGGTTGGGAAGTACTGTTCTACAGAACTCAGCTGGTGGCTATGTTCAAAATGTGACTCTGCTATCATACACCATTAAAATGAGCAGCCCTAGCTAGTAGCTGCAATATCCATGCAGGGCTCCAAAAGAGCAGGGATGTCCCATCCTGATGTGAGGAACAGCTTGGTCTGCACATCCACCTTGCTCATATGAAGTCTTCCAAGCATCAAAGAGAATAGAAGCTCTGTTTGTAGAGCCCGCCATTTTAACATTTAGGCCCTATTGAGCTTTGAATCGTTGTCAGCATTATAAAGTGTTGAAGAAAACATATCCTGTAGTACTAGTTTTAGTAGAAATAAATGCAGGTGCAGAGAATCAAGTGATAGGAAGTTCTTCTGATCTCAGTAATATCAATGGAAAGATCAAAATGGCCGTTGATTTATAAGGATCAATTTTCCCTGATGCAATATGTGAAGCAGAATCATATAATTCTACCAAATTTTGTTGGGTGAGAAAACAGCAGCTCTTAATTTCACCCCTTACTTTTTACCAGCACTTGGGAAATGTTTGCACATAGCCTTGGTTGTCCATCTACACAAGGAGGAGGAGATTGTGAGCCTGAAGGTTTTATCACACTCCACTGCATTGATAGCCTACAATAATGACCATAATAATCATAATAATCATAATAATAATTTATACCCCGCCCATCTGGCAGGGTCAGATCATGTGCAAAACAGCCAACATGGTGCTCTCCAGAAGCTTTGGACTCCAGCTCCCATCATCTCCAGCCTATAGTCAGGAATGATGGGGACTGGAGTCCCCAGCAACTGGAAGACACCAGGGTGACTACCAGTACCTCCCTTTGGCATGATTCCCAAAGGGAATGTGCTGGAGCAACTGTCACAGGCTTCTGTTTGAAATTCCTTGATACTACTAATGATGAGCCACACAGCCCAATTTCTTCACCATTTGGAGAACTTCAAGATTTTAGATGTTGCTTTCTTATTCTTCAGTGAACATATATTCCTCGACTATGGAACCTAATGAATATTATGTATGTTACACCTCTGCTCAATAATCTGTAGTGACTGCTAATTTGTTTCTGGGCAGTTTCAAAGTTTTACTGTTAGTATATCCAGCTTAAGACAAGTTTACTTGCCCCATACATGCCTAGCCAACTGCTTCTACCTGTGGATCTTACACTTGGTGAAGTGCCATATGATGTTTGTTCTGCATCTGTTGGTAATTTATTGTGGCAGCAGCATCTTTCTTTGTTTCAGCTAGCCTATTCATGCACAAAATTTTGTTATGTATACTTGTTTTTAATGTTTGCCGATTTTATGTTTACTGTTGACAATTGTTGTATGTATTCTTAGAGGGTTCTTTTAATTAAGTGGTTTATAGTTCTTTCTTAAACAAACATTTTTAAGTATTCAAAGCAATTCACATGCTTCATTTCGGTAACCCTATTATCAGCATTTTACAAATGGCAGAGGGGCTGACACTGCTGAGTTGGGTGGCTGGCCCAAGACTTTGCTCATTCAGCAGTATTGTTTTTCCTTTGCCACTTTAATGTTTTGTTGTGGGTTGTTTTTTTTAAGATTCTTTGGCAGCTTGGCATTTCCTCCACCCCTCTTCTTTTCTGGAATATGCACCATGCAGATATTTATAAAAAGATGGGGCAGATCTCAACACAACGAGGCCATTCACTCATTCATTATATGCACGTGGCTATGATGCTATTGTCTCCGGATTCAGGCTCGCAGGAGTGTCGTGGATAGTATAATATTGTTAGGGTGCATTTTTTACAATGTGAAAAAGCCTTCACTGGGAAAGTGGGCGGTATTATTGTATACTGATTTTCTATATGAATTTCATTTCTGAGTGAAAGGGAAAAAATGAGTGAATTCTTAAAAGAATTTTCCAGCATCGCAGTACACCAGTGCAGCCATTATGGATATTTATCACTGCGGCAAACGTATAATTATGTTAAAGTATTGCAATTTTCATAGCAAAAATAAATAAATGCAGGGAAGATTGTTTTTGTCTTATAAGCGCACACCATTGTTGAGAATTCCAGCCACTTTTACTGTATATCTAATTCTGTTCCCTTTTGTTTAAGCTGGCAGGATTCATCTACGCCTGTTATGTTGTGAAATGTATCACCGAAGAAGAGGACAGCTGTAAGTAATAAAGGTTTATTACATGCCAGTTGAAACTATTTTTTATATCATCCATCTCACTCATCCATCCCACTCCAATATCATTCTGAATACTTTGTCATACTGTAAAATGAGAAATGGGTTGGGGGCAGGGGGTAGAATATTTGAACTTAGGCCATGACAGTTCGGAGCAAATGGTGGAAATGGTAAAATGCAGCTACAGAAAATAATTACTTTCTGAAATGAAACACTACAAAACAAAACTTCCTCTAAAAATACTTCACAAAGATCATGTTTCTTGCTTCTCACCCATCTTAATTCTTGCCCTACTAATGTGTGGGTAAAGTTCTTGTAAGGTGACTATTCAGATTTGTTGTAGCAGTTTTGGCAAGAATAGAATGCAACAGTTTCATTTCAAACTTGTTAGTTCATGTTTCTTCCAATCAAAAATAGTCAAGGAAAGGGGTTAAATGCTTGGAGTTTCTCCCGGTTTGTTGTGTCTGAAAAACCCTGTTGAGTGGAATGAAGTACATAAACATAATGCTGTAACTTTAGCTTATCTTCCTATAATCTTGCTTTTTACCTAATCACTTCTATTGCTTTGGTTCAGTTTGCTATCAATATCAATCAATTAATCTTTATTTGCATTTTCACTGACCAGTTTCTCCTGTATATCTGAGCGTATATCAATAGACAAACTTTATAAATAAATGTAAATATCATAGCCAGACAAAAACATAGCCGCCAGAGAAATAAAAAATACACTTCCTATTAAGAACAGTTTACTCACTCCTTTCCGATAATATTTGTGTCAGTCTAGCAAACACATGCTGGTGAGGAACAAACTGCAACCCCTTGCTTATGTCTGAACCAGATATTGTGATTCATTTAGCTCAAACATATGATGATCAGTAACTCCCAAACAAACCTTGGCTTATCTCTGTGGAGTGAAACAAAGCACATCCCCTCTTTCAGACACAACACCAAGCCGGTGATTATGGTTTGCTTCTCTGCAGCACAAATAGGGTGCAGTGAAGAGGGTACAGTTGGCTTGTGTGTGGTATACCAGGAGTGGAGAACCTTTGGCCCTCTAGATGTTCCTGAACTACAACTCCCATCAGCCCTAGTAAGCATACCCAATGATCATGGATGATAGGAGTTGTAGTTCAGCAATTTCATGAGCTGGTTTACTGTGATCTCCAAATGTGGCCAATCACACAGGGGTCAAGAAAGAGGAAGTTCCATGTTCTTTCCCCCTCCCCAATATTTATACACACCTTTACCTGTGATGTTTTCCAACCTCTGCCAGAAGCAGCCATGTATGTGGAGCACAATGTAATGATGTCATGATACAGATAAGTATTCCTAAATGTTGTAGGAAAAGCACAGGGGTGGAACTGCCATGGAACTGCCATTTTCAGCAGCAGTCTGCTGAAGAGGTCATCTAGCTATATTCTGAATACATAAAAATTCAGTTTAGAATATTTCAGTAACCACATGTGTAGTTCAACACTCTGAAATTGCACTAATTTCAGCAGGAGAAATTTAAGAACTAGCTGGATTTAACCACATGTGGTTTTCTCATTATCAAACCAAAATTATTTCCCTGTTGTCATTAAAATAAAAAAAATGTGAGATTAAAGGAAAATGCATGAAATTTGGGAACAGAATACATGCATATCTTATGGCCAGAGGGGTGATAGAAAAGCAATGCAGGAGGGTGTCTAGATGTGTTGGCATTATCTGCCAGAGCACCATGCTAATCCATGGGTCCTACTTGCTCTGGAGTCAGCGAGGTAATAATGGGGCTTTCAAGTTTGTTTGTGACAAATAAGAGTAGAGGAAGCCAGAGAATAAAGAAAATGGACAAGCCAAGTCTGGGTGCTTCTTTCTTTTTGATGGGAACCCTACTTCCTGCTAGCAGTTTAAACAGCAACACTTCTTTTCAAGGTTGTTTGGATTTGAAATTAAAATTTAAAAGGTTGCATTTTAGCTGGCTGAAGATGTTTTGTTGAAGTTCAATGCATTGTGCAAGTTGAACCTATGCAGTCAGAAGTAAGCATCACTGGATTCAGTTGAGCTTATTTTTTTTAAAAAAACCAATGCATAGGATTGCAGACATCTCATCCCAATAAATTAGATATTGTGTTATGTACTGTAGCTGCTTTCTCTGTGTATGATAAGGGAATAACACTTCCAACTTCATTTTTAGACTTTCCTTAGAATATGGCTATGAGGAGAAGCTTTCATGATGTATTCCTGAACTTCAAAATTTATCACTACACCACTGCTTAAGGCTGCTCTTTTCCTCTCTCACATTTTACATGCAGCCTAGGGTTTGCTATGAGGAAATTCACTCTCAACAGTAGTTCAGGGTCTGACATAAAACATCATGTTTTAATGATCAGAGAATGTGCCAGTGTGTGCAGTCTGAATTGATTTGCCTGTCTGTTCAGTTGTTTACGTCCTGACCTGTCTTAAAGGTGTAGGGCAAGTAATCAACATGCTTTCAATTATTGCTATCCATATGGATAATATTTCAATAGATCTACTGATCAGAGGTATGACTTGTCTGGGCACCATCCTGCATGTCTGCCATGAGAATGATGTTTGCCAGTTTCAATCTCTTGGTTACCTTTCATTTTCCTATAAAAAATCGATGATGTGGAGCTCCTGGTGTCCAGAACATACCCAAATAGTACATTAAATACAGTGGTCTGTGCTTGTTCAAAAAGTTTACATTCCATGGCTAATTTGTGGCCCTCCAGATATTGTTGGGCTATAGCTTCCCATCATCACTGACCACCTTGTCTGGGTCTGGTGAGAATTAGAATCCAACAACAGGATTACAGGTTAGCCACACCTGCTATAGAACTTCTAAGGGAACTTTTTATTTATTTTACATAGCAGGTTAGGGAAATTCCTATTCTCACCAGGTAATCACAAATTCTGCAACATCAATATACGGGTCTAGCACTTAAATTATCATTCTAAGGGCTACTCTTTCCAAGCAATCCCCTGAATCTCACTAGGAAGTGTTTGTGGAAACCTGAGATACTTGGGTAGAACAAAAGCTACATGAGCCAAAACTAAAAAACGCAACAGCAACTGTAAGTTTTAAGGCAGCAGTGGGAAATTTGATCCAGCTAGTGGGCTGGATCCATAACTGCCCCAGCCTCCATGGCCCACTTTGACAGGGCCATGGAAAAGGCTGCCAAATTCAAAAAGCACTGGATCAACTGGAAATACTCAGGAGTGGACTGAGAGCGCACCCCCACTTACTCCTTTTTGCATGGTCCTGTGGGCTGACCCAACCCAGTCCCATGCCTGGTGTCAGATGATGTCACGAGATGGACAGGCAGGCAAGTTTTAGGCCAAAACATGCCATGGCTCAAATGTGGAGGCCTGGTAGCCACAGGACACAGGTTCCCCAGTACTATTTTAAGGGTTAGGGTTAGGATTCAACTGAGTAGATGCACAGAAGGGAGGGTCATGGAAAGTGGATGGAAAATAGCAAAGGTGAGCCAAGGTATCAAAATAGGATATAAATCTCTATGAGAAATTCTGTGGAAGTAATAATGGGGTAGAGATAAGAGACCCATTAAGGGAATAGGAAACCAGTCCCTTTCTCTCTGCATCACTCTCTGCAGATATTGATATCGTAAAGCATTTGTCTTCCTAAAGTCATTGGCATTATTAGCTGCAGCAATTTAAAACCACTAAAATGTCAACACCTATCTTTCCTGGGTGGGATATAATCTTTCCCAAGCATCTTGTTTGTGTGTGTGTGTTTTTGGAAATCTTATTAGAGCTACATTTTCTTAAAATTGCACAGTAATTCTATTACTTTGAAATATTCATTTAATCAGTTTAAACTCTCTAGCAATTTGACTCCTCTAGTACAAGCTTTATGTCAGGAATTTCCAACAATTCAATATGTTTTTTTGAAAACATCATTAAATATTTAGTTACTTAGTGAAAAGCTCTCGAGGGTCATCAATAAAACAGCAGCCTTGTGGGATTTGTAGGTTACATGAAATTAAAAGAAGAGACTTACTATTTCACTGAATTCTTTCCCTCCGGGCTCTACTCTGCCTGAGGATGAAGGGCTGATGCAAACCAGGCATTCAGAAGACACTGCCATGACTGTCTAGAGAAGCACAGTGTGATTGGCCATGCAAATGCCATCTTAGCTCCTAAGAGCAATGTCTTCTTTCAATGTTCACGACTCCATCTTTGGATGTACACACTGGCTTCCCCCAAGCAGCAATATTTGGCTTAAAGCGGGGGTCAGGAAGGCAGAATCCAATGCAGAGTTTTTGTTGCATTTCAGTATTTTGCATTACTGCTTCTTACTCTGCATCACCTCCCTTGCTTTCTTCCCCTTGTTTTATTTGAAGCAAACACCAAAAAATGGCTGAACTATTAATGCCACAATTACTATTAGAAAACATGATCTGCGCTTTGTGTGACTTCTATCCTCCTTTTATACTATGAAATCAGATCTTGAGGAATACTTCACCTTGTGACTGTTGTGGTGAAGGACCTTAATAAAAGTAGTCAATAATCAAATATTAATTTAGTAATAAATTAATATATTTATAAAGAAAAGTCTATCTACTGAGTTCAGTTGGGCTTATTCCCAGGTAAGTGTTTGCGTCTCGAGGCCCCAAGACCCACCCCCAAAATAAATACTCATGGACACTTATATTAGTTTAAGTTTTTGGGCAAATTTTGGCCACAACTTTTTGGAAATACAATCACGTGAGCGGTATTGGCTTAGGCATTGACTCCCCCACTATAACTGACTCCACCTCTCAGGGTGATCGTCCAATGGAGTAAACCAAATGAGGGAGCTAGGTCGATGTGGACCAACCTAAGCTCACCCCGGGGTTCCTGTGGTCCTGGCATGGCCCTAGCCCCTCAAGCGGACTTCGGACGAGATCCAGGACCCCCAGATTCCTTTAACGGAATACCCAATTCCTGGAGGGGCAGGTGATGGCCGCACCTCCCCTCCCCAC